CGTGGACACGTGCTAAACTAGCAGTTATGAAGAGGATGAATGGGTTGGTTGTTAAGAAGGTCCAACTCATCTTTGTTAAGAATCGAGGTGTGGTCAATTTCAGCTCAAAGGTTTACTTAGAAAAGCAAACTGTCTTTAGCAAGTAAGAAGTAAGAGTTGGTGCTGCCGCCCAGTTACTACAGGACAATTGGTTCTCATTCACACACAGAACCAAACGGGTCAAAAAGCCAGTGCTCGGTAGCAAATTTGGTTGTCACGTCAACTGACACTGAAAATTTGTCTTCTCAACTTGAACATTGTCTTTTAAAAGAAAAATACAAAATAAACCATTACTAGACTATGGGAAGATCTCTTATCTGGTAGCAAATAGAACAAAAATGTCAAATAAGTTGTGAAATCATCATCTTACTATGATAAGATATACTGAGCAAAGACTCACTCTTGATGCTCTGAGACATCAGTTGGACCAAATCCTACACATCTCAAATCATACAATTTAGGTAAGGGCAATCAACTATACAAGTTATACAAAAAAAACAAAACAAAGAAAAAAAAACAACAACAAAAAAAAAAAAAACAACACACACATGCTGATGGATCAGTCATGTGACCTGCATTTGAGCAGGTGTCCACAACACAGGGCCCACTGGGCTGCCCTGAACTGGTCCATTATAGGGTCCAAAACCAACTAACAGAGCAGCCTTGTGTGGTGGAGGTGTGGTCTTTGGCTCTGCTACAGGGGAGTGGTGGTTATGTACAGGACAGGGGGTCGACCACCTGATCCTGTACATCAGCTGGAAGCTGACATGTTGTGGCGATATGGGAGTCCATGCTGTCCAGGAGCGTGCCCGTTACCGCGTGGGTACTGAGAGCAGATTGGAAGCAGCAGCTGCCCCATCAGCCTCCCCGGCACCACCCCTCCCTGCAGCAGAGCCAAAGACCATACCTCCACCACACTTTGCAAACTGTATCCAATAGCATTATATTGATTACATACAGTGGCTTTGCAAAAGTATTCGGCCCCTTGAACTTTCCCACATTTTGTCACATTACAGCCACAAACATGAATCAGTTTTATTGGAATTCCACGTGAAAGACCACACAAAGTGGTGTACACGTGAGAAGTGGAACGAAAATCATACATGATTCCAAACATTTTTTACAAATAAATAACTGAAAAGTGGAATGTGCGTAATATAGTGGTGGCAGCATCATGCTCTGCTTCTCTTCAGCAGGGACAGGGAAGCTGGTCAGAGTTGATGGGAAGATGGATGGAGCCAAATACAGGGCAATCTTGGAAGAAAACCTCTTGGAGTCTGCAAAAGACTTGAGACTGGGGCGGAGGTTCACCTTCCAGCAGGACAACGACCCTAAACATAAAGCCAGGGCAACAATGGAACGGTTTAAAACAAAACATATCCATGTGTTAGAATGGCCCAGTCAAAGTCCAGATCTAAATCCAATCGAGAATCTGTGGCAAGATCTGAAAACTGCTGTTCACAAACGCTGTCCATCTAATCTGACTGAGCTGGAGCTGTTTTGCAAAGAAGAATGGGCAAAGATTTCAGTCTCTAGATGTGCAAAGCTGGTAGAGACAGACCCTAAAAGACTGGCAGCTGTAACTTGCAGCAAAAGGTGGTTCTACAAAGTATTGACTCAGGGGGCTGAATAATTACGCACACCCCACTTTGCAGTTATTTATTTGTAAAAAATGTTTGGAATCATGTATGATTTTCGTTCCACTTCTCACGTGTGCACCACTTTGTGTTGGTCTTTCACGTGGAATTCCAATAAAATTGATTCATGTTTGTGGCTGTAATGTGACAAAATGTGGAAAAGTTCAAGGGGCCGAATACTTTTGGAAGCCACTGAAAGTGATAAAGCTTCAATCACGTCGTAATCTGTTGGTGGTTGCACTCTACTTATCGTATTATTTATTTTATTGCTTTATTACTTATTCTGTTTGTAAAAAAACAAAACAAACCAAACCAAAAAAACCCAACTATTTATTTATTACTTTAAAAAAAAAGTTTTTTGTTCATTATTTTGTTTCTTTTCGCTCCGTGACCGTGCGTACATAAGTTTGTTCCACCTCATGTTAACATGTGATGCAAATGACAAAGCTCCTGAAGTGTGGTAAGACAGAATCACTGAGAGACTTAAATCCTTCTTGCTGACAGAAACCTCATTCGTGGCTTATATCACACCCAAGATGGTTAGGTAAAGGAGGTGAGCTGAGATGCATCGTTGATCTACAACAGCCTCTTATGAAAAGACAGATTAAAAGTGGAGAAAAATTGAGACTGTTCAGTGGTGATCTTGTTAAACTTATTTTTCGTAAAGGTCCTTTTTAAATTTCCCTTTAGAAAATCCAAGTGCTTAATTATGTTTTAGCCTTACCCCATTTGTGAGTCTTTCCGTTTTCCCTTTAAGAATCAAGTGTTAATGACTTGCACCATCTTGTGCTCACAAGTGGTGTTACATGAGTGTAAACGCTCATGTAACACCATCCTAACTTCAGTGGATATCTGTCAGCACAGTAGAAATGCATTGTGGACATGAAGTCATAGCATTTGGTAATGCTAAAGGTTTACGATTAACTCATCTCAGGTTTAGCTTTATTACATTAAAAGGTTGTCAAATCTCCAACATGAGATCATCAAATTGATTCTGTTGCTTCCCATAAAAAAGAAAAGAAAAAAAAGACTTGATGATCATGCTTTCAATTATGATTGCAAACCGAGAATGGTAACGGCACACACATAAATGGATCAAGTCCACAGTTTTACACCCCAAAGTGACTTCATAATAATATGCACACTGTTAAATATATTCACATAGCCTGCACCAGTGAGCAAGGAAAGGCAAACTTATACATACAGAGACTAAACTATGAAAAGCACACAAGTCATTTATGTATGATTTAGAATACAAACATGAAGAGAGGAAAAAGTTATTTACCTGCTGTAATCTATTCTTTAGCACCGGTCACATTTCCCAGATCCACTGACACAGAACCAGGAACATCTTTTGTTTTTTTAAACAAAGTGAAGCACGTGATTATGTACAGAATTGCAACACATACCCCTTTCAAATTGACAGGGCACACAAAGACGCACAAAAAGCAATCTAAAGAGAAGGGTCTCACCCACACCAAAACAGCAAACAGGTGACAACAACACACACACACACACACACACACACACACAGTGGGGCTTAAAATGTTAATGCAGCATACCAATTATTGTTTGTGCATCATTTACAAAAATTTGAACATCATTGTTCACTGCATATTAATATTTAATCTCTAATTTAAAAAAGTTAAAGAATCTGTTTAACTAATTTTCAAATTTTAATTTAAATTATTACAATTTAATTGATATTGTTTATAGTAACTTGAAACAATTTTCACTAAAGCTGAACTTTGACATTCAGTCATGTATTTAATTCCATGTTTGAATTAATCTCTGTTTCTCTTCCACAGCATCTTTTATCCCGTCTTCCTTCTCTCGCCCCAACCAGCTGCGGCAGATGGCCCCGCCCCTCCCTGAGCTTATTTCTGCTGGAGGTTTCTTCCTGTTAAAAGAGAGTTTTTCCTTCCCACTGTCGCCAAAGTGCTTGCTCATAGGGGGTCATATGATTGTTGGGTTTTCTCTGTATGTATTATTGTAGGGTCTACCTTACAATATAAAGCGACCTTGAGGCGCGTGTTGTGATTTGGTTAATGTATAAAAAAACCCAAACACTGAGTCACTTAGAATATCCTTGTTTTTGAAAGAAAATTTCTCTTGCAAATGTAGAATTAGAAATATTTCAACAATAAATGATTACCCAGTCTTTAATATTTACAAAAGTCCTTTTCTAGTAGGCTTAATTCCTTTGCAGTTGGTGATTCGTGTCATTGGACCAATCTTTCTTTAAAGAAAATTTCAATTTTTGTCCATAATCTACAATAAAAGCCAATTTATGAGTCTATGTTTTTCTGAGCTATACCAGTTCACAAAGTACTCCAGATTCCTGAATCTCTCTCTCTTTTTTTTTTTTGTCCAAGTGAAAATGAACTGCAGTTAGCTAAATAGCAGGGCGTTACTACGCTCTCTTCTGCTTCTTTGTGTATTTCAAACAATGTTGATGGAGCTGAGATCATTTTGGAACTTGAAACAAATTAAAAACATTAAAAAAAAAGCTGTTATAAAGGAAATGACTGCAAATGATATACTGCCAAATTAGCATTATGAGGAAACCGCTATTGGAGCCAGTACACACTTTACTTTAGAAAAATCTTTTTTTTCACTATTGTATTTATAGAGCAAAGTGCTGCATTATAAACTTGACCTGCATTAAATTGGGCTTTACAAGAATACAAAGACACAGCAGGATGAATTGAAGTCTATAGCTCGATCGGCACTTAACATGTCTTCAAGTGGTGGCTTCATTAAACA